AAAAATCAACGCGAATTCTTTCCATTTGAAAATTCCACTTTATTATGCTTGACTTGCCCGGCCGAAAATAAATCTCGATTTTGGATAGGCGCTGGTCAGATTTGCTTTCTTCCGTCTAGCACCCAACAAAAAAAAAACTATCGAGGCGCTAGAAACAAATGTAACGCTCGCTCCAGTGATTCTGGACGGCCTCTGTCTAATAAGTTGAAATTTCCTTTCTAAAGTTAGTCAAGGCTCTAAAAAGATAAACTTGGTGCCCATACGAGCGCTGCCCCCACCATGATATCAAAATCGGGCTTGGCAATTTCAATGTCAGGTTGGGCGTCCAATAACGGTCTCGGGCTGATTGACTTCGCCGGCGCCCGAAATATGTTAGTATGTAGGTATGCAGTACTAAGTTTAAGCATAAAAGAATTCATGAAGTACTTGGCTGTCTCAAGATCGAAAAACAATGTATTTTACTTTATTTATTTTAGTGCACAGGCTAACTAAAAGATTGCTAAAGAAACAAAATTATACCACTTTATTCTTCTTTACGTAGCGTAAAGCATCACGCTAATCTCAAAAACTACTGAAGGGATTTGGACGAGATTTTCTTAATAGGGGCATTATCATTTATTTTGGTTGTAGAGTTGATAATGACCGGACACTTAGGGGTATTATCTTTAGTACTTAGAATTTCTATAGGGTTGCCACCTGTCCAAAAAATATTAAGATCCGCGCCGTTCGTTGGATTACAAAGAGAAATGAGGTGTCAAGTAAAAGGGTCTCTAGATGTTCAATCAATTTTTTGAGTAGAGTTGCCACCTTTTTAAATATTATAAAATAAGGAAAAAAATAAGGTACCAAGTTAATGGTCCCCGGATGTGCTATAAGCTTTTATTTTTTTATTAGGGCTAACCCCTATTTAAAAATCATTACCTTACATGTAGTACATGACGGCATTTTTTTATTAATGACATCAGATCTGAAAAGTGCGTTCAAAAATTAGGGTGTCAAATGAAAGGGCTTGGCCTGCAGATATCCACCAAAGTTAAAGTAAAGGGTTGCCACGTGCGCGAAAAATTATAAGATGTGTGCTCTTCGTTTGACAAAAAAGTGAGGTGTACACACATACATACATATGTACACGAGGCTTCGCCCCACGTATATGAGGCCGCCTAGTTTGCTATAGTTTCCTTCAAAAAAATATTAAGTGTTGATTTCTTATTATAAAAATACTAACATCGTAAAAAGTTTATAAATATGTGCATCTTTAACTTGTATTTATTTTGATGAAAATTATTTGTTTTGGCTTTGCGTGGTAATATTGTGATTTAAAATAATACATTTTGGCTATGCCACTTAAACAAAAAAAAACACATTCATTGTCCCAATTCTGTCATACGCATAGTTTTCAAATTAATGTTCAATTGCTTTCTCACTATTTCATTGAAAAATTTGCATTCTCACTTAATTCAATTTATACCGGAATGATTGAGTTAGCTGACAGGCTCAATGATTTTGCGGTCACGACCCAGCGTACGAACCGAACAGAATTTAATAATATTTAAAATTCCATATTGCACACGTTCAAAACGACGAAAAAAAAACTTTAAAGAAAAAATAAATAAAAATGTATGATCCTTCTATGTATCGGTGCAGTGGTGTGCCTGGCATTTCGACGGACAATTAAAAAAAAAAATATATATAAAAAAAATCAGAAAAAAGGTAACCTAACTGACAAATAACGAACAATCAAGGAAAAAATAACTGAAATTGAATTG